GGATGATAACTTGGCAATTTATTTTCATTTACGATAAGTGCTATTTCATCCTTGTGATTGTTTCAAAAGAAAAATGTTATTAAACTTGTAGAGAAGTAAGAACTTCTCCCTCAAGATGTCAGACAGACAGAAGACCTTACTTGATGAATCCGAATAATGAAGGGATGTGGGAGAAGGTGATCTGATCAGTCTTGAGTCAGAGTTTATGATGCAGAAGGGATTGACTGATGGGGATACAGTGGTGCTAAGAGTGAACTAAGTAGTTGAGATTTGTGAAGGGTGCTACGTCAGCTTCTCTTCCTGGAGAAGCTTAGGGTTTTTCTGTCTGGCTCGCCACTGTGGGAAGTGGTGGTGGGGGGTATGTGTGGCTAGGCCAGGTTCATCCAGGAGGGTGAGAATTACTCTTCCCTGAGTCTCCAGTTGTCACTGGGCTTGCACCACAGTGAATGCCTGTGGGCCCATATTGGATGAGTCATGCTCCGTTGGCAGCATTGATTTTATGTTTATTTGTGAAAGGACAGTCTATGAGATTACCAAATAAAATATAATTTCAAGTGCTATTAATGAAAGAATATATTACATTCACTTTTAATGAGATTCTGGTGTTGCAAAATCATTCCATGTAATGAATCCCAGGAAATCAATGAAAAGTTTAATTACAGTCGTGGAAGTGTTGTATGAGAACATTACTTTGGTCAATTTTTCTTGTACCATTTATCAATCCTCTCTTCCTTTCTCTTTAAATTAATTGCATTAATGAAGTGGGTATAAATGTGTTCTTTGTTAGCTTTTGATCTTTTTTAGAAACATGTTATAAGAAAGTTTCTTTGTAATAGTAACTAATAATAGATAACTGTTTCTGTATTATGACTATTAATTTTTGTTTTTTTTAGGCAAAATTTTTCATTTTGCAAATTTAATCATTGTTGTATCTTATGAAAACATCCCTTTTTTCCTTTGCCAAGTTTTGCAAGTCACAGTGTGTTTCTTCTCACCTTAACAAAGGATCAGACCCATCAGTTAAAAACTGATGTTCTTTCTACATTGCTCATCACCCGATTAAGGTGAATAAAAAGAAAGACTAGATACTTTCTCCTTTGACATAGCTTAGACTTGAATAGGCAAAAACACTTAACTGTTTTGTTTTCATGTAACTGCATGCATCTTTCAATGTTCTTTTTCTTCTTAGAGCATTTTTATTTTGACAGTTCAGTAATTAACAGTACTATCTTGTCCATTTTAGTGGTAAATTCCTTTTTCACTCTGTCTGTCTATAAAGTACTGTACTGATTGTTGACCTGGATATTTAATATATAAATATCTAAAGTAGCTCTTTGTTTCGGAGACTGTAAATTTTATTAATTATATATTGAGAAAAATCTCATGGATTTTACATGCTTTTCCAGCTACAACTGTTGTTTACATGTAATCTACCTTTCCTTTAAGGTTCAGAGCCTTACAATTTAATGAATAATTGTTTTGACTGATTTACTACTTGGATAGTAGCAATTTGTGAAGTTTCATTTTGAGAAGGAAATACCTGTAGCCTCCTTTCCCTTCACATTCTCCCATTGATACCATCAGCCTTGCTTCTTGGGTGGTAGAATTCTTCTGGTAGAACTGAGAAGTAGCCTGCGTGTTAGGGGTCTTTGTTCCAGTCCTGGCTTGTCACTAAACACTGGAATCTGTGAGGAATCACCTCCCTCACCTGGGGAGTTGTTGAGCTGTGCAAAATAAGATGACTCCCCCTGAGTACCACCAGTCCATCCACAGGGCTTCATGATTTATAGTGTGATAGCCGTGAAAGAAGAAAAGGTCCCCTCAAACCAGGGTGCTATTTGAGTATCATAAAAGGAGCTTTGTTGTTTGCCCTAAAAATAATGTCTTCCTTGATGGTCAGTAAATGTGAGCAGGGCTGGCTAAAAGGGCTATTATATGACAAGTGGTTCTTTGCCTGTTACATTTTACCCTGTTAGATAAAATGTTCTTTTATGTGTACCTGCAGCTACTGTTTGCGAAGCCTGGAAATCACCATGGTGTTTTCTTTCGGGCATAAGATGTTGCGGAATTAGGGAACTAAAGGTTTCTTTCAGAATGTCTCCTTTGAAATAACTCTTCTATTTTTGATTGCTGCCCCACCTCTGTGGTTGTTTGCTGCTGTTAGGTACTTTGTGTGAAATTGTGTTATGACTTGTACCGTATTTGGCCCAGGCTGGCTGTGCCCCCAAAGCAGACGTTGAGAGAGGGCAATATTTATTTCTTGGCCTAGAGTCCCTCCCCTCGTAAGCTGTCCTGTTTTTCTCCTGGAAGTGTGCCTCTTTGTAGCTTCTCTGATCAGCCCTTGTGTCCGTCTTCAACTCCTAATCTCCTTGTCATTTTTACCTAAAAGACAGCCCTGAACCTTGTCTTTCTCCTATCATCTTTTCTCTGGAGCTAAGTCTTCCACTAGGGATTTGGATGCACACCAAATCTGGAAACTACCGAATTAAAGAAGACACCTTTTGTTCAAAGTACATACTCTCTAGAGATTCCTAATTCAAGACGGCATCCTTAGCACTTATACATAAGTCACCTTGCACACTGTTATTGAGCCCAATCAAAGAAGTGTACCAGACAGGAAACCTGTGTGATCTGAGAATTAGTGAAAGAGCTTATCCACATGCTAGAACTAGAAGAAATTTTTTTTTATTAATATCAATGAACATTTACAGAGATTTTGGATTTCCATTCATTCATTGTTGCACTTTTCTCCTCACCCACCCCACCCCAACCCCAGTTCTCTCTTCTCCTTGAAAAGCAAAAGAAAAACTCCTTCATTGGTATACAATCCCCCTGCACCCCCACACACCCACCCCGAGTATACTCCACTCTGTAACCCTCATTCCAAACTCTTATGATAATCATAATGCCCTATATTACTTTTAAACTGTTCTCTCCCTCATCGGCTTCAATGCAGTATACATAATTTATCCAGTTTTTTTCAGTCTTACCCCCAGCCTGATGTCAGCCTCATTCTACAACAGTGGCACCATACAGTATCTGTCCTTTTGTGACTGAGATATTTCACTCAGCATAATGTGCTCCAGGGTCACCCATTTTGAGTAATATTGCATGAGTTCCTTGTTTCTCAATGCAGCATATTTTCAATGCAGTGAATATACCATAGCTTCTCTATCCATTCATTTGTTGATGGGCACTTAGGTTGTTTCCAACTCCTTGAAATTATGAACAAAGCCACGATGAACATGGGTGTGCATATATCTGCTTGGATGGTGTTTATAAATCTGACTAGTTTGAACAGATTAGGTGGTGAAGAGATTGAGATTGTTAACAGCTTTAGTTTGCTTGGCTCCACAATCAACACTTCTTACTGTTGAGCAGCATGGCTAAAAAAGAAGTCAGCAAAAGAGAGATAATGTTTAAAGTTACAGCTTTTATTCAAGAAGAACTCCCAGGCAAGATTCTCCGTTCTGAAGAAGCAGAGCAGAACTTGCAGATTGGGGAAGGTTTTTACAACGGAGTCTTTAGGGATGAAAGGGAGTTACATTCTACTCTAATTTATGGTCCACTTGTTAGTTCAGCTAGGCAGGCAAGGCCGTTGCTCTTCTTACTAGCATTTGAATTCTTTGTTCTCCCCCCCCCTCCCCCGGTCCCCTTGTCCAGGCCTAACGGTTACCAGCAGCCAGAAAATCAAAAGACAGATTGCGTTGGGAAAGTCTGCAGTCAGGACCTCTCCAGAGAACTGAAAAGCAACATTGTCACTCTGGAGACTAAGGTGTGCCTGATCCAGGCCATAGTCTTTGTAATTAATTGTTATGCATCAGAGAGCTGGGCAGTGACTAGGGATGATAGAAGGAGAATTGATGTCTTTGAGCTGTGGTGCTGGAGAAGAGTCTTGAATATACCAGGGACTACTAAGAGAACAAACATGTTCATCCTAGAGAGGGTGAAGCCAGGCTGCTGTTTGGAGGCAAGGATGCTGAATCTTCATGTGACCTACTCTGGACATGTTGCTAGGAGAGATAATCCTTGAAGAGGGACATCATTCTTGGGAGGGTTTCCACCTGCAAGAGAGGACCCTCGATGAGATGGATTGATTCAGTAACTCGGGTAATGGGGGTAGGTGTGTCAGAGACATTAAAATTGGCACAGGATAGAGCAGGATTTAGGGCTGTTGTATGTAGGGTTGCTATGTGTCACAAATGACTCAAAGGCACATAACAATAACAGCATGTCAGTATGATTCTTAGAGCAGCTTTGGTAGGTTATGAATGGCATGATTTTGCTTCTGCATCTTGCATTTGCCTGCTTCCCGTTTGTCTGTAGATGGCAATAGGATTATCATCTCCATGTAGTCAGCTAATTGTTCTCTGGCCCCAGAACCATCCATCTGTTGTGGGCAACCCTCCCTCAGTTATCTGGAGCTTATCTCATAATTGAGACCCCTATTATATGCTAGCTTGTGTAATTGTTAATATGTGGCTATCATCTCCCTGTCAAATCAGATACCCAGGAAACTACATAGATCTCTCCCTTAAAGTGGTTGATACTACCCATCACAGTACTGATTATGAGTTAGATATTCAGTGAATGTTTGCCAAACAAGGGAATGACTGATTCTAGAATACTCACTTTTTCTTTTATTCCTGAAAATAATGGAGCTAATGGAAAAGTAGTATTTTGTGTAATGAGCACATAAAATATTTATAATTGGAAAAATATATTTAAAATTATTAGATTCTAGTTGTGTTATTAATGTAATAATTTGTCATATGGACTCAGTGACTGGGGGGGTGAGTGTGTCTGAGAGAGTAAGGTTGGCTCAGGATAGAGCAGGGTTCAGAGCTCTTGTACACAGGGTCGCTGTGAGTTACAGGTGACTTGACACATAACAACAACATATGGAAGTTGGCTTGTTTGAGTTTTGGGGGATTTCATTGGCTTTTACAGTGTGGGACTTTTGATGTCTTGATAATATATCGACTCTTTCTGTGTTGCAGCTCTAGTTGTAAGTACCACGTCCGCTGGATTTGCACTGGCCCCAGGACCCTTCGACTTACCATGCTTCTTGCTCACTTGTTTTGGAACCGGCCTGGCATCCTGTGCTGCCAACTCCATCAATCAGGTCAGTTTGTTGCTCCTCAGCTCAGTTATGGCATGTAGAATCAGAATATGTTTTTAAAATAACTAGTGTATTATTTTAATACTCCTTTCCTTCAGATGATTTTAAACATCAAGATTGTTTCCTAAAATTTTTTCCCCTGCCTGGTCATTGTGGTCCGCCTCAACATTGTGGTTTCTTCATAAGCTACTACAATGAAAAATCTAGGCTAAAACTGAAGAAAAGTAATTTTCATCCAAAGAACACCCAAGAAGAGTCAGCTTTCTTTTAGAACAGGATTCAAGTTACCAGTAAGAAAACAAGTGAGCAGATAGTTGATAATCTGAAAATTAGGGATATTTTAACTTGATGATGCCTAACATCAGTGTATTTGCCCAGTCTTTTAAACAGGAGATAGAGCAATCTCTTTCCATCTAGACTTGGTTTTTGTTATTATTGTGTTAGAACAGTCTTATAGTAAATCTCATATTGTTGTTTGTTGTTTTTGTTAGGTGCCGTTGAGTAGAGTATGATTCATAGTGACCCTAAGAACAATAGATCTGAACTCTGTCCTATCCAGTGCCATCCTCACACTTTCTGACACACAAGAGCCCATTGCAACAGCCACTGCGTCAATTCACCCGGTTGGGGATCTTCCTGTCTGTCCTTTGCCAACCCTCTACCCCTCATCATGTCCTTCTCCAAGGAATAACCCCTCCTAGCTACATGCCCCAAAGTATATGTGGCAAAAGTATGATTCCCTTCTATAAACCACATGCATTCTCCTCCAAGTTGTTCCTCCCTTTTACTGCCCTTGCTTCTTTTTCTTGGCTAAAAGAATATGCGTGTGAGTGTATTTTTATAAAATCGGAATAAAAAGCAGTATGATATAAGTAAAATGTATTTGGGTCAGTCATATTGTTACTGTTCCTGTTGTTGTCATGTGCTGTCAAGTTGGTGGAACCAAGTCATTGTTGACATTCCAGCAAGTTGTCAGAGGCTGCAAATGACATGGGAAGAGATTTTCCATCTTTCCTCCATGGAGCATGTGGTGAATTTGAAACACCTGCCTTTGGATTGACAGTGTAGCTCCTTACTGCTGAGCCACCAGAGCTCCCTTTTGTTTGTATTTTTGTTGTTGTATACTATCAAGTTGGAACCAACCCATAGCTGACCCTTCAAGCGGGTTTTCGGAGGCAATTAATCACACAGGAGGAGATTGCCTATTCTTCTGCCACAGAGCAGCAGCTGGTGGCTTCGAACCGTGTTCCTTTGGGATTGCAGCACAGCTCCATGCCACTTATTTTCATATTCCTTCTTTAAATAGAGAAGCTGCAGTATCTCTGAGATATTTATTGCTATCTTCTGTCAAAATTACATAAATTCAAAGAAAGATTTTGAAAAATGTTAGTTTGTGGGGAAAAGTAATAAATATTAAATAATTCAGGAATACAAAAATATTATAAAAGATAATCGAGTATTGCCTTGATTTGAAACTACTTTCTTGCCTATCTTCCAAAAAAGACGATTCAAGAATTCACTGTGGGAAAGGGGCATGGAAAATGCTGTTAGTTGTAGGTAGAAAGTATTTGGAGAAGGAAAAGGAAGGAAAGGAATGGTTTACATTTAGGCAGAAATGTATAGGAATGGAATATTGATTTATGTTTCAGAAAAGTTACAAGGACCATGAGTTTAGATGGCTGCATTATTTTAGCACCTGTAGGAAGCATATTTGCTGTAGAAGGTGAGTTGAGATAACTGCTGACATTTTTACTAAGTTACCATAGTGAGCATGATACTACTTAGATATCTCCAGCCACCTTGAAAGGGTTTAAAGCACTTATGCCCCATACATAGTATAAAAGTGTTGTACTGAAGAGTTGCTATGAGCCTGAGCCATCGCCATCGCCATAGCACCTAACAACAACAATGTTTTTAATGTAAAAGTTTGCCCTGCTTCTGGCCCATATCCTTCATAGTTTTTTAGAATCCGGTTATCCTCCATGTATCCCCAATTACTGATTTGACTTAACAGAAAATGGGAAGAGAAAATGTTTCTTTTCCTCACTATGAGTGTCTGTATTGTGTGTGTGTATTAATATATCCATTCTTCACATCTGAATATGTGATGATGGCTTAAATTCAAGGAAGGCATTGTGGAGTATATTGTCCATTCTAATAAGTCAAAGAAATACTGGTAGGAAAATTGATTAAATCAGAAAAGCAAGCCTTTGACTGAGACTTTGCATGGCAGTGTTGGAATGTGTACTGAGATAGTTTTGTCAAGAGGCTTGGGGACTCGTTTCCTTCCGAGTTGTCTCCTTATCAGCTTAACCTCACAGAGGTCAGGTTGAATGAGGTTCTTCTCAAATTTTCTGTTTCCTTCATCTCTTCTAAAACTTCAGTTATATTTAGCTTTTCCTGATAGTTTCTTCTTTTGACTCTATCCCATTCAATGTGCAGATTCCCCTCCCCCTTTTCTGGCTTAGATGGAAGTTAACTGATGACTGATATAAAAACGGACTGTGTTGGATGTCTGGAAGACTGTATCATTTTCTTATCGCATATGCCCTGTCTTAGTTTTAGTAACAAGCACCTTTTAAGATTTAATATGTGAATATTCTTGATAGATATTTCAAAATTTGACTTATGAGTGATTCTGAATTCCACAGTGAAAGGAACAGTACTGGGGGTGGAGGGTAGGAGAGAGAGAGAGAGTGAGAGAGAGAGAGAGAGTGAGAGAGAGAGAGTGTGTGTGTATGTGTTAGGAGGAGGGATAGGAGCATGGGCAATGAAATACATCTTATTTATTGTACTTGTGCTTCCTTAACCCAGTGTGACTTTTCAGATTTTTTTTGCTTCTTGCTATTTCCAACTACTAATGCAACTACAAAATGCTTTAAGCAAGTTATCAGATCTTTAGAATTTGTGTGTGATTAAGTACATCCTAAAACTCATGTTTTTGTGACCACTCTGCCCTGTATTAATGATTTTCTAAGACATTTTAGAGAATATTTTTTGGAAAGAAAGGGAAATTACTCACCTGTGTAATTAATCTTAAGGAAAATTTCACTCTGGCATTTCCTTTAGATCCTATGCCAGATTCTCCCAGAAGCAATGATCACAGCAGGAACAAAGGAATTTAAAAGGATGTGAGTGATGAGATGTAGAGATAGGATGAAACAAAGAGAAGATTTGGTAGTTAATAAGATTTATGTATAGTATCCTTATACCTTAATATACAGTGCATCTTTAAAATATACAGTTTTAGGTTTTATTCCAAGATTGCTTTTACTATAAGAAGATACTTAAATATTAGCCTAAAAGGGTGAATGTGTAATTGAAATAGAAGTTTAATGCAGTATCCTAATATTTGGACAAAATTAAAATTGTTTTGTTACTGGTTTTAGCAGAGTGGTGGCTGATAATCTAAAAATGTCATTGTATACATTACTGCCCCTAGTTGAATAACAAAGATTTAACAAGTCTATATATAATTTTCTCAAGTACCTAACTGAAGATAAGTAGATAAATGTTCTTCTAATGTTGCTAACATTGAAACCTATTTTAAAATAATGTCAATTAATATAATGCCTGACTTTTAGAATAAAAATGTAATTTTTACATTAGAAATTTAATTGCTAATTCATAATAGAATATTTGGTGATTTGTAAATTGGAATATTAGTAGGAGATACTGTTTACTGTAGCTGGGTTCCCTCTTTGATTTTTTGCTTCTTCTAGAGTAAACGCCTAATTGAATTGCAAAATAGTTCATTCAAATAACCATGCACTCATCCTTGAAAATGGATAAACAGTGCCCTAATTCAAGCTTTTTTATGTTTTCTCACACAGTGAAAGTTACATATGTTTTTCAACAGATAGATATTTAGCCATACCAAATACTTTGGACATGTTGTCAAGAGAGGCCAGTCCTTGGAAAAAGATATCATACTAGGAAAGGTTGAGGATCAGTGACAGAGAGGAAGCCCTTCAACAAGATGTTATCAACATAGTGGCTTCCACTAAGGGCTCAAGCATGTTTAAGATGGTGAGGATGACACAGGATAGGGCAGTTTCAGATCTGTTGTCTATGATGTTGACTCATAAGGTCACTATGAGACATTGTCATCTTGGCAGCTCATAATAACAACAACAAACTTGAGTAATCTTCAGGCTATAAGATTTCATTTTTTTCCTTTGAATGTTATGTGAGGTAGTATCACTTGCACAGAAGTTTATTTTGCTTAATTAGAGTCAGAATTATTCATAAGCTAGGGATATCTGTTGAAATCCCTGTGGCATTCACCTGACTACTGGAGAATAATTCTGATTTGGCTAAGACCAGAAACCTAGAAGTCATGAAATGGTTGGACCTTACATATTTATTGATTACTTATGAAAGTAATCAGCTTAAAAATGGATAAAGACACTAGGCCCTACTTTGAAGCAGCTCATGGTCTGGTAAAGCACATATGTAAATATTAACTACAATAAAATAAGTTTATACTGGGAAGGAAACCCTTAAAACAAAAAACCTCAAGTTTCCCGTCATTTTGTCAGTTCTGACTCATAGCAGTCTTCCATCAGATATCTGATACTGTGTAATTTTTTTAATATATTTTAAATTTTTTAATATATTTTAACTGAAGTTTACAGAAAACTTGGATTTCTATTCATTCATTGTTGCACATTTTCCTCCCTATCAGCCCCCTAGTGTGTATTTTTTTAAAACTATTAACGGTTCACATTTTCTTTTTTTTTTTCTGCTACTTTTTTGTTGATCTTCATGCTATCATTCATAAATCTTGTGTTTTGTTAATGGACATTGTGCTTTATACATTCATTCACATATATTGTTTTTGATATAATTACTGGTTTCCTCCTCTCTCTTTTCTCCTTCTCTTTTTCAGTCTGAACAGCTCTATTTATCCCCCTGTTCCTCCTGTTTGCTTATTGATTTTTCACCATTTCTCCTCAGGTTGATCTTACCTTGTCCTAGTCCTTTACGGTGTTCACTGACTG